GATTGAACAAACAGAGAACGGAAAGTTTTTCTTTGAATGGAGATTAATTTAGTTTGTCTATATATTTCTTTTTAAATCTTGATTTATTGGATATGTTTTTATGATTTTTTTTAATGTTTGAAATTACTAAAATAAAGATTGTTTCGATTTTCTCCATCAGCTTAACCAATTTTAGTTGATTTACATGTTGGACACACGGTAAATCACTTTAGTTTAGTGTAAACTTATAACAGTAGAACTTTTTTATTTACATGATTGGTCCAAAACTAAAGTAATTAATCAAGAATTCAAGTCTTTGTAAGATTCAAAACACAATCATAACAACAACAAAAAAAGGAAAACCCTTACATTTTGTTTGCATTCTCGTTATATTACATCCCCAGAAACAAATTTGTCGGTGCTCAAAAGAAAATAAAACTCAACAATAAAACCCTAGTCATCTCTGTTCCTCACTGTTCTGTCAACGTAAAGAACATCATCAATCCACGACACAACGTTATAAGCCAGGCCTTCTAAAACCCTTGAATAGCTCTCCAATACCGCCTTTCCCACATCCTATCCAAAGCACAAAATTATCATAAAAATTGCGATTTTAAAAAGAAATTGTTAAATTTATAACAAGACTACTTACTCGATTGTACTGAATCTTGCATATGTCCAGTGAAGTCTGAGAAAGTTCGGGAAATCTCTGTTTCAAACAGAAGAGTAAGCTCCTGGCTCGAGCCGCGAGAATGTGGTTCTTGTCATTGCCACGATCAGCATCACCACCGATATCTTTCATCATGTCCCATGAAGACTTAGAGTGAGTCAATCCTCCAGTCTTACGCCTCCACGTAACCAATGAAGCCTCGACTTTATCTGCGAGCTCAATGGCCTCGTGCTCCGATGAAATCTTCAAGATGTCGAGAAGCTGTTCTGGATAAAACTTCTCAGCCGTGCATAGTTGCTTGTATATCACGTCTCCTACACTTGCTTTCCCACTCTGTTCAAAATATATCATTTTTCAAGTGATTATAGTGTAACTTTATTTGGTTATTTCCCTAAGACCCTAACATACCTTTGGGAGAGTTGTGAGGTAAGAATCAGGAATATCCATGTCATTAAGAGTGGAATCGTTAATGGCTAATGCTGCTTTATGTATTTGATTTGCGCAATCGCGTTTGTGACGCAAATTCTTTCGTTCTTCTTCTGATAAACCTTCAGCTGGAACACATGGTACTGGAAGCCACCATTTCTCGTCTTTCCGTTGAACAACCACTTTCCGAAACGTTCCTGAATCTCTACCACCATTACCCGAGTTCATCGATGAGCTTCCTCTCTCTACGTACCAGAACTCGTTATCTGTAAAACTATCCAATATTTCCTACAAAAAGCCAAATCCAACCGTGTCGAAAATCTCGAATCTTGATTTATCTATATGTCCTAATTTGAATGTTTTTTTTCTTACTTACCATTAGCATGTTATCGAGTTTTCTTAAAGCAGGAAGACTCATGAGAATATCAGATCTTAGCTTTGTTTCTGTAATCTGTAAACAACGAATACAAATCGAGATTCTTTAGATCATGTGTATATCAAAATTAAGATAGTAATGAAATCGTAGATATTATTACCTCAACGTTAGTACCAAGAGATCTTGGGATAACTTCGACAATGTAATCACAAATAGACATAAAACAATTCATTTCTCGTTTCCATAAATCTTTCTTCTCTGTACTCAATGGTTGTAACCTTAAACTTTGTCCAAAAACAGTCGCTGCAATAACACACATCACACATAGACTAAAACCATAAATACTCTGTTTTGAAAACAGAGCATATTTTAGAGAAATCGAAGACAAAGACGAACCATAGAGATTGGTTATGGAGTTTGAGACAGTAACAGCTGTACAAACTCCTTTACCACTTCCTGACATATCTTCACCAAGCAATAACTTCGCAAATCTTTCCCTCATCATCTCCAATTCTACATTACGAAAAACCTAATTTAATCGAAATGTAAAAAAAAAGAGAGAAGAAAGTTGCAATCTTTTAAAGATTTAAACCTGCATCTTCTGCGGAATCAATGTCACTGTCTAGATCATTGTCTTCTCTGTCTCCGTCAACGTCATTTACAGCGTCATCTTTTGGTTCCACGGCTTCTTCGGAGAGATCTTCTTCTTCATGACCACTCAATACAACGGCGTTAGTGTTTGACGGTCGGTTATAGAAGCTCTGAACATCAAACCTGTGAGATAAGCCAGAGATATCGGAATATGTTCTCCGGTACGGCGAAGACACGGAGCTCGTCGGAGTTCCGTTTTGGTCGGGATTCGACGAACTCTCCATGATGATCGATTGCTCCGGCGAGTTTCAAACTCTTCTCTTTCGTTTTTGGCTCTCTAATGAACGTGACAATGGTTAATACATGGAGTCCCACCTATACTTTTGAGTTAAATTATTATTATTTAATGAAGAAACATTATATTAAAATTATGAATGGTTTTAATATAAAGAGACGTGCCTTCCACATTTGGCTAATCAAAATCTCATAATGAACTTTATATGCGTTAGGTGTATATAATTCAATGTTGTCCCATTAATTAATTACACAATTTTATATCAACTTTCATATAAAAATCATTTCATCTAAAATTAATTTTGTATTCCAACCAAAAAAAAAAAAACAATTGTATTATGGATGTTTTTAAACAAAAACTTGGAACTGAAATTCAACGTAAACCCTTGAGACAAGAAAGAGGGTTTAAGGCGATGGTCAAAGTCATTTAAACCGGCACGGAGTCCACGTCGAAGAGAGAAAAACGGCAAGCAGTTATTGTATAAATTACAAAATTAGACATCACATCACGCGAACTGTGACTGGTCAGGCAGGTCACGTGACTATGTTGTGCCTTCTGCGCCGCAGAGTTGCATCGAAATCTCGTGATGGTGGTGTTGGCACGTGCCTCCCTTCACACGTTTAATCACTTCTCTGCTCTTCCTTTGTGTAACGCACAAACACACACGCCTAGTTCGTGTCAAGCCTTAGCTTCACACATACCAATCTTTCTCCTAGACACGCTCGAGCGTTACCACACGCGTGAAGCTCGTCTTCCAATCACGCCTCACGCTCCTCCACGCGCCTTTCCTTCCATCTCACGGCCGGATCCGCCCCTTTTCAATCGCCGGAGATCCACCGTCTTCTCCTCCTCCGCTTCGCTGGTCCCGTGAACGTCGACAAGTGATGAATTTTCGATCTGAAGTCGGTTTCGGCTCTAATGGTTCGGGTTTTTTTTAGTATTACTCGGCGATTCGACCATTTTTGAAAGGAGGTTTGTGATTGCTGAAACTTACTAATTTAGTACTTTATCCGAAATTATACATATGAAGAAACACCAACTCTCTGTTTGGTTGGTTACAATGTCTGTTTGTAGGATTTCTGGTGAATTTAGGAAGTTAGCCTGAGAGAGTTTATGCACATTGAAGATCATAGAATATTTGCCTGCATTGTTCAGAAGGTGTACAGTGTGGAGTGTTTCAGATGGAACATTTCATGAGAAGGCAATAACGTTCTTTGGGTGGTTGGGTTATAAGAGAAGTAATGGCAACAACGGATATGCGGAAACTGCTTGGAACTAGTGAAGAGGATGATGACGAAGAAATGGATATGGATGTGAAAGAAGAAGATGATGGAGACCAAAGGAATAGAGGGACACACACAGCTTCAGGTAGTAGTAATGACGAGTTTATGTTTCAGCAGTCGATGCAAGATCAAGTGGGTACTCCTGGTGGAGGAGGAAGTCGTAGAAGTAGACCGGTTGAAGAGAAAGAGCGAACAAAGTTGAGAGAGCGTCATCGAAGAGCTATTACTGCAAGGATCCTAGGCGGGTTACGAAGGCATGGGAATTATAATCTCAGGATCAGAGCTGATATTAACGATGTTATTGCGGCTTTGGCTAGGGAAGCTGGATGGGTTGTTCTTCCTGATGGGACTACTTTTCCTTCCAAATCTCAGGTACTGATTTGCCCTGTCCCTCCTCTACGTATTCCGTTGTATGCTCTAGTTGAGTTTTTTGTCTGTTTGTATTGTCTAGTATTTGTTTCAAGCCAGTAACATGTGCGTACACTCATTGTCGTCACAAATTCTGGGTGCTAATTTTGATCCTTGCCTCGGTTGGGGAAAAACTGTCATTAGAATTTTTTATCATATATTTTTGTCATTATAATGTCAGTAGAGGCTTTTATCTTCATGAGGTTATGTATCCTAACGTATCCATTTTCTGCAAATGATCAAAGCGTCGTCTTGAATCACTTTATCGGCTTAACTTTTTAGGGGACAAAGCCTCCTGGTGGTTCTTCTGCAGTTGTTGCAGGTTCATCAGCTTCTCACGTGGCATCACAGCAAAGCTCACCTCCTGCTCTTAGAGGAGTATCATCTGAGCATAGAAGCCCAGTGGAGCTCAACTCTTGCCGTATGAAAGCACCCGCTCCATCGCCATATGATTTACCCCCAACTCAATCTCCAGAACTTGTTGCCAGTGTAAATAAGGCTGAGGGGCTTGTTGGTTGTTCAACCAATGTTATCAACACTAAACAGGTATCGACACTACCATATTACACAGAAAATATAAACTTGTAGCACTCCAATCCTTTGCATTTACATTGCTTACTTGATATTAAAGAAGTTTATGGTCTCCACAACTTAAGCAAACAGGTTCAAAAGCTCAAATCTGATGACTCTCTTCCACATTTTGTATTTGGTAGATTCTCGAGATTCCTCAAAATCTGACCGAGCAAGATTTCTCTGGCACTCCTTATGTTCCAGTTTATGTGATGTTACCAGTAAGCAACTTCAATCTCATTCTTTATCCATATGGTTATCCCGAAAATTTCTCCGTACTAATAAAATTCCCTTTTCTTACGTCAACAGCTTGGTGTTATCAATATGAAGTGTGAATTGGCTGATCGAGACGGACTGCTAAAGTACTTGAGGATATTGAAGTCAATCCATGTAGATGGAGTTAAAGTGGATTGCTGGTGGGGAATAGTTGAGGGTCATTCCCCCCAAGAGTATAATTGGAATGGCTATAGGCAGCTTTTTCAGATGGTCCGTGATCTTAATCTTAAGATACAGGTCTGTCTTTTGCGTTAAGATACAGTTTTCTTAATGAGGTTGCATTAGAATGATTTATTCCCAAGCTTCATATATATCTCACTTTCTTTCTTTCTTCCTAGGTTCTAATGTCCTTCCATGAATGTGGAGGCAATGTTGGTGATGATGTTTGCATTCCACTTCCTCATTGGGTGGCAGAAATCGGGCGAACCAATCCTGACATATATTTCACTGATAGAGAGGGAAGACGAAACCCAGAATGCCTCTCTTGGGGTATTGACAAGGAACGTGTTTTAAGAGGCCGAACTGCTCTTGAGGTATACCAATGGCTACAAGCAATCATCTATATATCTCTCTATCGATTAATGGATTCTTTAACACATAATGACTTTCTGGACGCTTATGCTTATTTCATACAATTTTCTATGTACTAATAAAAAGAATAAAAAGTCACAATGAGATAGGTAAACTCCGATTTAAGCTAAGGGAAATGTTATTCTTGGAAGAAAAAAAGAGAAAATATAGCTGCCTAATTGCTGTGTCTTTTCTTTGCTCCTTGCTATCACAGATACTTGAAATAACCAACTCATAAAGCATGTTATGGTTTGGTTGGATTTAATTTTAGGTGTACTTCGATTACATGAGAAGTTTTCGGATAGAACTTGCTGAGTTTCTAGAGGACGGTGTAATATCTATGGTTGAAATTGGACTAGGCCCCTGTGGAGAGCTACGTTATCCTTCTTGCCCCATAAAGCACGGGTGGCGATATCCAGGTGTTGGAGAGTTTCAGGTATCTTTCCTTTCAATAGTTAATATTCTTGCGATAGCCAAGCCTCACAGCTAGCTTACTTCCACTTCCACGTAATGACCATTCCGTTGCACTGGTACAGTGTTATGACAAGTATCTCTTGAAGAGCCTGAGAAAGGCAGCAGAATCAAGAGGGCACCTGTTTTGGGCTCGAGGCCCTGATAACGCCGGCTCCTACAATTCCCAACCGCAGGGAACCGGTTTCTTCTGTGATGGAGGTGATTATGATGGCCTCTATGGAAGATTTTTTCTCAACTGGTACTCACAAGTTTTGATAGGCCACGCTGACCAAATCCTCTCTCTCGCTAAACTAGTCTTCGACAGTAGCTGCATTGCTGCAAAGGTGATTGATTTTAGTTGTCTTAAGACACCTATAAACCCAATAGATTTTAGACTTCTTGTCATTGTTTTATCACAATTGATTTAAAACAGCTCCCAGACGTCCACTGGTGGTACAGAACAGCAAGCCATGCCGCTGAGCTAACCGCTGGATTCTACAATTCGAGCAACCGAGATGGTTATGCTGCAATTGCATCTACACTGAAGAAGCATAGAGCCACCCTGAGTTTTGTGTCTGGGGAAGTGCAAGTTCTAAACCGTTCCGATGATTTCTCAGGAGGTTTAGGAGAACCTGAGGCAGTAGCATGGCAGGTAAAAGAAAAGGGAAAAGCTTGGATTGCATATTTTTTTCTTAAGCCTGTTTTATCACCAAAACCTCAAAATCTAATCTTGGATCTTTTTTGTAGGTGTTAAACGCTGCGTGGGACACCGATACACCGATTGCTCGAGAGAATTCGCTTCCTTGCCATGATAGAGTTGGGTATAACAAAATGTTGGAAAGTGTTAAGTTTCCGAACGATCCAGATAGAAGGCATTTGTCATCATTTGCATATAGTAGACTCATCCCCGCTCTTATGGAAGGACATAGCATTGTCGAATTCAAGCGGTTTGTCAAGAAATTGCATGGTAATTAAATCCCAATCTCATCAATCTTTTGTTTTCTCTGTTTTAAGTCTCTGAAGTTGCGATATTCTTCTTTGGTCTCTCTCTGCTACAGGGGAAGCTGTGATGGATCACCATCAACAGGTTTAGAGTTTAGTTTGTCCCAAAAAACAAAAAAGAATCAGCTGAAATTATTCACTGTTAATGTTGTTAATTCTAGTAGTTTAGCATCTTTCTGTAAATTTTATCATCAAGAAATTAAGAGAGAAAAAAAGATAGAAGAGAGACATTACTAAAAGCCTCATGTGGCTTTGGCTTAAACCATCTGATATTTTGTTAGGCCATAGTACTTATTAATCCCTATTTATTACTTCCACGTTTGAGATTATCATCACTACTTCTTAG